CCCCCCCCCCCCCCCAACCCCCCCTGGAAACAGAACGCCTTCGACAAGGTGATCCTGCTCTTGTGCCGGTTCACCGGGCTGGTGGGGCCAATCAGACCGCCAGCACCGCGCACCAACAGCGACAGTGGTAGCAGCCATGACGATGACGACGGCGGCGGCGACAACAGCGACCCCGATCTCAGCGAAGGGGGTCCGGCAGCGACGGGAACTAGCGGCATGAAACGCCTCATGAGTGGAAACCCTGCCGCGCGAACGGCGGCCGTGACAGCGTTCGGTATCGCTCATCGGTCGGGCGATCACATGAGAGAGGGTGAGACAGAGCACACCGCTCGTACACCGCCTCGTGTGTGTGTATGTGTTTATTATTAGCATCGACCGCGCTAACCGGCTGACCAATGAAAAGACGTCAGTCTTAGTGCGGTTGAAAACACAAAACACTTCTATCTGCCATGAACTGGGACCCCGTGAGGGGGCAGCATGGGGGAGGCTAAACTATCCTGTGGATCAAAGACAGAAACAGCAGCAACAGAAGAAAACTGCACGTGTCTACCAAGGCTACTACCTTGTACTCGAGTTCGTTTAGGAGTACTTTCACCATTATCCTCCTTGTTTTCGCTACCGTCATTCTGATCCTCGTTTTGCCAAGAATCTCTGGGCAGTTCTTCTCGATGTGTATGTGTGTGGCTGTTCGCCACGCGCTGACGCGGCTCCAGCCTCTATTGTGCGTGCGCCTTTAGTTTTGTTCACTCATTTGTTCGTGTTGAAGTTCATCCCACGTCGGACGAAGTGCCATGACACAAAAGATTCCCCGTCCTTGGTTTTTGGAACACGCACCGCCCATCGGTGGTTCTTGGAGAGAGGGACGAAAGGGATGGAAATCGCGACTAATCTTTCCCCACCCATTTTCTGTCCCTCAACTTCCGCCATTCGACACTTTTTCTTCGTAGGCTGGCTCCCACTGCTGCAGCTAATATTCGCCATGCGGGACCTTCACATCTTGCCCAAGGAGGTACTGTATACATTGGACGTTGGATGTCATCGTGTCGCTGGGGAGTTCTCTGCTTTGGATCGAATCGGATGGGAGAGTGCATCAAGAGCTGTTCATTTCTTTAGCGTTGTGTGCCTCATTGTTCCGTAAGGGGTTTTTATCTTCTTCGGGACGGGGGNGGGGGGGGGGGGGGGGGGGGGGGGGGGGGGGGGGGGGGGGGGGGGGGGGGGGGGGGGCTCAGCCGAGTGCAGGTGTTGTTCTTGGGACCCCTTACGAATTCTTTAGTCAGCTTTGGCTTGCCTGAGCCCCCGTGACGCTTGTAACGACCTTTCGGCTCCACTTGGTCGAAGTATGATCCATCATTGCTTTCACTTTCGCGTATTTGCAGCTCTGCCTGCGTTGCTTCTGCCACCTTTATTTTTTCTCTGCCTCCTCATTACCCCCCCTCCCC